GTAGAGAAATGAGTGTCTTGTGGGGTGGAGGGGTGGCCAGATGCTTCGTTCTAAAAAAAAATCTGGTTCAATTCTGCTGTCTAGGAAGTGAGTGGAGATACGTGATCCTGTCGACTGTACGCTCCTGCCCCCGGTCAGAGATTGATAGGAAGCCCACAAAAAGCTGGCAGAAGAAGTACCTGGGGTTCGTTACCGACCCAGACCAGATCAATGTTGGTATCACGCGAGCTCAGGAAGGACTCTGCATTATAGGTGGGTCTTCTGGGAGTGTGCACAGGCCTGCAGGGGAACAGGATGCTTGGATAAAGGGGTGGAGATCCAAACTAGTACAACCGATGTTCCAGCTTTATTCTTCTGCCCTTTAGACTGTCTGTGGTTTTGAAACTGGGCTATCTGGGCAAAGCAGAGATCATGCATGGCTTGTATGCAGCATGTATAATTAGTTTTTCTCACCCTCTGGTTCGGACCACGTTGTTTCTGTCACTTGCATGCTAGAGCTCTCTCCTAACAGAATTTGGCTGCTTATTTTCCTCCTAATCATGCAGGCGTGGGCTGTGATGTGTAGGGAAAGCTGCTCGCAGATATGACAGCACTGAAAGGGGAGCTGGGATTTCACAGAGCTCTGGCTAAAGGAAATGTCCCTGCAAGTTATCCAGCACCCTTAGGCTAGAAATGTTAGCTAAAAGTTTCTGTGACGGTATTGTCCGAGCCCCTTCTGGCCACTAACCCGCTGCCCCCATCCCTGCGCCAACAGGGAACCGGTACCTCCTGGAGTGCAACCCTTTGTGGAGGAGACTGCTGCAGCATTACAGACAGTGCAACTGCTATACTGCAGCCCAGGGGATTTCTGTCAGGAAGACTCCAGCCTCATGCCGATGAGGATGGGTTGTACCTCGATGAGCTCGTCCCCCTCTACCTGAACCGCGTTACGTGTGCCTTGGGAAGGACACCATCTTTCCATTATTTAATGACCCATGGAGCCAAATGCAGTGGGGGAGCCAGGATCTTCCCCTGCACAGCGACAGCTCCGCTTCAGTGCGTGCTTTGGCATCTTCGGGTTTTTTTTTAGTCAGTGCAACCTTGGATGGGAACTTTCAGCTCTAGCAAACCAAAAAAGCATTGGAAGTGGATGAGTGTGTGACTTTATTAATGTGATGATACTATCTTTTTAACTGTAAGATGCTCAGTGGAGCCGCCGTCCTATCTGCCGGTGCAGCTGCGCTTTGGGGACCAAATACTCAGTCCATTCGTCGAGGGTGGAATGACTGCACACAACGGAGCTGCGCGACAAGCTGCTATTTGCCATAGAGGACCAAAGCTTCTGAGTACTACTACTCATTTTAAAACCAAGGCCAGGGAATTTTTAAGGGTTCTTATTTCTCAAAGCAGAAAAACTTTTTTGTTGCTGTTGTTTTGTGGGGTTTTTTTAAGTGAAGGAAGAAAGCAAAGAGAGAACCATGTACTGCTCTTTGTCTAGCCAAAACGCTGCTCTCTGAGCATGTAAATATCACAGAGCCAAGGCCGAGTTGATTTTGTAAATAGATTTACTTATTCTTTGTACAAAGGAGGTTGTCCTCACCAATATAAAGTTAATGAAAAGCAAGGACTGCTCCTACCGGGAAACGTTGGAATTTGTCAGCATATTTTAAACTGTTCTGAGTTTTATTTGAAATCTCCTCCTGTAAGAGCCCTCCTTTCCTACCACATATTTTTTTAAAGCTGCTTCTAATTTATTAACTTTTAACTCTGTGAATTTGTTTCACAGTCTTATGGCCTGAGTTTTTAAGAGCAGTGATGGAAATTTGATAAATGTACCACAGCATATATGTGTATAATCTATTTTTTTATTTTAAGTAGCCAAACTGCTATGAACTGGAAGCTGTGATTCACTAGAGAAGGCTGCTTTTGCCTGGTAACGTATGGCTGATACAGATATATAGCGGTGAAGTGGTGCTCTCTCCTGAATCACGTAGCTGCTTTTTGAAGCATGGTAGTTTTGAAGGAGGGTGTCTTTTATCTCATTTCAATTCTGAATGTATGAAGTGCCTGCCTCAGCTCTCCCCAAGACCACACGCTTGGCTGTCTCTAAATGTTCACGTGGGATGGAGCCAAGATGCAATCACAGTGGTTTTGCACCAAGTATATACTGTGCTGGGACACCAGTCCTCCTTGGTGTAAGTGAGGGGTCCCTGTGACTTCACAGCGCTCTGGCAGGGATGAATTTTGTCCTGTGTTTGCAACTGAAAATGCAGCATGGCTCTTTCCAGTGTGGAGGAATGTGCAATAAGAAAGCGTTGTGTCTGGAAAAGTCCTTATTTAATGCTGTGTTTCTTCTCATGACTCTGTGTTAGACTTGACTCAAGAACCTATGGAGAAATTTTGTTGTTCTCTTCCTTATTTTAAACTACCTTCCTGCACTTCTGCATTTGGTGGGTTTGATCTGTACGCTAGAGACCACCCAGGCTTGCTCTTGTCTTACTGAAGCATAATAACAGGCATACTGCTGGCGATTCCCTGAGGGACAAAAGCCCGTAGGAAGTAACTCCTGCTGGTTCTAAAGATACTTGATAAAAGCTGGTAAGATGTAAAGTTCATTGCTCCTTTTTAAAATCCCAGCCAGGATGACTTCAAAGATTCTGCAGCAGCCTGATTTTGCAAATAATATTGCAATTCCAAAATAAGCTTGTATGGGAATCATTTTGTGGACTACTTGAAAGGCAATCATGTATCTCCAAGATGATGTGGAGAATTGCAAAAGATACTGGAACTGTTGGGATAAATACTTTAGCATGGTGCCGGCATCATTCTAGCAAAGTCACTTTGGTCCCTTTAGAACCAGTGGGTGTCATTTTCATGATCTAATGTAAGTGAAAAGTCTCTCCCCTGTTTTTTTTTTTGCTGTTTATTTCATTACATGTAACACAAATGAGGAGACTCACCTTGAGTGTAGTGGCTTAGTCCAATGCTCTTGTGTGGGATTTGGCCATGTGTTTGTACAGACCAAGAAAGAGACCTCACAAAGCATCTCCCTTTGCACTCAGCAGGGAAAAAGTGTTTACTTTTTGGATGGTAAAGCCGAGACTGAAATGCTTTGCTTGGTCACCTTTGTGTTGCAAGACAATATACATAATTTTTTTCCTTTGAACATGCATTTTGTAACTGGTGTTTAGAAAAGGCTGCCCTAGACCACCCAAGCAGCAATAACAGCCAGGCTGGACTCTTGGGCTGTTTGGGCTGTGAGCAAGTACCTGTAGAGTTGGTCATGCAGCGGCAATAGTCAGGGATAGCAGAAAGTGCAATTAATCAAACTTTTTATAGACTGTTAGTGACAGCTGAATATTGTGTTCTTGTCCTTATGCTCATGGATAGAAAGAATCATAGAAATTAATAGAGGAAAGAAGTTCAAAGTAGTCCGTTTTCATTTGCACACAGAGCTTTGAGTTTACTTTTGAAAGAATTTTATGTTCAAGCACATATTCTTAACATACTTAAAAAAACCAAAACGACCAAACCTTTGGTAATTCCAATAGGAAACCACTGGCAGCACGGTGCACAGGGTATCTGTCTGAACACAGGCACCATGTTTTCCACAGCTCACAGACAAAAGAATGTTGTTGCAGGACACAAATATCGGTTCGTCCAACAGGATAACTTAATTGCCTCGGCACTAGCTAGAGCTTGAGCCCAAGTTGAACAACGGGAACCTGTGCGCGCAGCAAGTGGTGTGCCAGGTGTCAGCCTGTGACGGTCCGTGCAGTTGCAGCCATCGCCCTGCATCCTGCGTGGCCTGGCAGTGAAATTACAGATGTCCAGAACTAGGAAACCTCTCCTTGGCTCCAGCTGGCAAAGGAGAAGCCCAGTGGACTGTTTGTGAGGATTTGGACAGATCTGTGTAAGACAATCAATTTACTGCAATAAACTGTTGGGTTTTTTTAAAATAGAAATGAAATGTTAAGTGTCATGAAGTGTAAATTAAGGAACTTTAAATGTGGCAGGTTTTTATCTTTTGTATGTCTGTGACTTGCAGCAAACCTCAAATGACATTTTGGATACAAATATTTTTAACTGCTTCTACCGTTTATAAGAATGAACCTCAACATTCCTTTTTTGATATTTAAGCCATAATTGTAAAAATGATTTGAATTTATTTAAATAATAGATTTTATTACTAAAAGGTCTGTTTATGCGATGCTTTGACTAGAATCTGTGTGGGGACAGCTATGTTTGGACTGAACCAAATGGTAAAAAAGAAAATGAGCATTGACTGCAGTACGTGCCAAAAAAGATTGTTTTCTACATATTAGTTGTGTGGATGTATTACCCTTCCCTGTTTCTTGGGGGGGCTTGGGGCGGTGGTTGGTTTTGGGTTTTTTTTTTGTTGTGGTGGTTTTTGTTGGTTTGGTTTTTTTTTAATCAGAGTGATCTTTTCACACACTGTAGAGGGGATGAGCATGAAATCATGCTTAGGTACCGATAAGGCACAGGGTGTAGAGGGTGAGAGGAACCAGAGATAGAAATAAGTTAGGGTGCGTGATTTGAAGAGCTTGGGATTCAGTTCAGGCGTTCTGGAGGAAGGACGTGGGGTAAAAAATAACTTGGGGTAACAAAACCAAAACAACGTCATTGCAAGAAGCTGGCACTGGGCATCTTGCAGTGGATGGAAAGCACTGTATGATGGAGATGCTTCTATCTCCTGTGCTTTGCATCCAAGGTGTCCTGCAAGACCGCTTGCTCTAGCTGCTCCCACCTGTGAGTTCCAGCAGTGGGAAGTGAGTGTTGAGTCCCGAATGCTGCCTAAGGATGTTGTTTTGTGTGAGAAGTTTAGAATGGGTTACTGTTAACCTGGAAAGATTTGGGGAAGGCGCTTGTAAAATTGTTGTTGAAAACAGAATGAGTTGAGTTTTACACAAAATGTTTGAAAATAAGGTTTACCTTTAATTTTTCTTATTCATCTTTTTCAAATGCATAAATTGAGAAGAATGTTCTTGTGTGCCACCTCATCATTCTAGTGCACAAGAGCTGCCATCTGTGTTTTCAACAGCGTTAGTTTTTGTCTTCAGTGTAATGCTGTCGTACCATCTCTCACAGACAAGTGTGTCAGTGTGTGATCTTCTAATTGTGAATTCGTATGATCTGCCAGGGTGCAGGTCCTGGACTACACATGTGTTGGAGGTGACTGCCTGAGTCCTACCGTATCCCACTTCTGTCTGTCTCCCATTTGTCAGTAACTTAACATGCAGTTCATATTGTTCGAGGTGTGGCTCTTGATTTTCGGTAAACCACTTGAGCTTGGCCCAGTTCTTGTGTGCAAATGATTCTTCTCGATCAAAAATCAGTGGTATCTTTGTACAGAGAGAAAGCCTAATGTTGGGAAGTCTAGTACCTCTAAGATCTGCATGTGACACCAAACGATGCTTGACATAGAGCTTTCCTGGCACTTGCAAGGAAAGGAGAGTTTCCATAAACTCGGAGAGCTTGGACAGTCTCTGCATAATCAAGTCCCACAAGGAGAGGAACGTTATCATGTCAGAGGTCTCTACGTAACAACTCAGCTCCTCCTGACCTTGTTCCAGCTGTTCTAACAGCTCAGTTAAAAGTGACAGCTGGATTTCAGTCTGGGTTTTTCCCACCTTCTTCATCCTCTGGAATTGGTAGGTGTCTATTAGTTGCAAGATGTCAGTGCGATGCATCACGTGGTTCTGGTCTCTCACGTTCACGTGTTTGGGCTCAATCTCCAAGTAAAAGTAACACTTCTTCAGAAGCTCAACTTTGCTCTGGTGGTGCTGAAGGCGGTGGAGGCTCAGGTTGGAGTTCAGGAACTGCAGCACAAGGCTTTTCCTTTCCAAGTACCACTCCCAGCTGGCACTGTCTTGTTCTTCACTGTGCGCAGTACCCTCCGAACTGGTTTCAAACTCATTCAAAATCACAGCCATGATTCCAAAGCTCAGTTGCTGTGAAGAAAGCAGCAATAATAACATTAAGAACCAAAGGAAAAGCAGCTGTGAGGAAGTATTATCATGGCTGTGACTCTTCTCTCTTAATTAAAACTTAGCTTATAAATTTATAGATGGGAAAGAACTGTTAGAGTAGATATAGTTCCAGAGGCATTTTCCTTTATAGTTGTATGGTTTCTAATGTTTTGTATAGTCTACTTTTATATATTCCAACCAACTGGTCTTCTGCTACCCCTCCACCCCCACCCCCTTGAGAGGTTCTACCTCTGCTTAATAGATTCACGGTCAGGAATTATTCTCTGATATACTCTGCCAAAATTTCTCCCTATCTTATTATCTTCTGTTTCATTCTAATTAGATGCCTTTGTACTCCTGTAAGCAATTTCTTTCCATTCTTCTACATCTCTGGAGATGTCTATTTTTCTCTCTTTGTAATCTGCCAGGCTGTTGAGGTTTGAGACCCATCTTCTAAGCCAATTCCTACAGCTACATAATCACCTTGGTGATTCAGATTAACCCTCTGCCCCCCAAGCACGCTGGTATGCAGCAGGCAGAACCCTGCAATATGCCGAGTGCCGCCTCACAACAGCTTTTAAGAGGAGTGCTAGCGTTTTTCCTTGCACCTCTACCTTCAACAGCGGATTGACAGTCATAACCTGACGTTTTCAGTGAGGTATGGCTTTCCCTTTCTTTGGTTTTAGTTTACATAATCGCCTTCATCCATGATATCTACTTGCTTTCTTGTAGAAGAATGCTGTTAGTCTATGAACAATGTACAGTAAGAGAAGGAAACACGTGTAAAGCACCTGTGAACAGATAATGGTTTGCTGTTAAGAAGGTGTTTAGGTAGTGGTCCTTTGCAACGCCATACCTGCTGTCTTAGTCTTAGCCATTTCATTTACTGGCAAAGACATGCCCTGGTTGGTGGTGCCTGCTGAGCCAAGACAGAAGGTGTTTGTCTGTTGTGCTTTAGCTGAAATACCTGTGGCTCACACAACTTAAGTATCATAAACAGACATTAGCTCAATAAATGCCTGTGTCCCTGTTGTCGGTAGTATTATAATGAGAAACCAGCTTGACGTGGAGAACGTGGCTTTCACAAGCTGAGCACGCTCAATTTGAAAAATAAATAAATACGGAATTCTGAAAGTAAGATCTTGTGACCCCAGTCAGACTGCGATGATACACGCTAGCAACAGGTAACTTTCCTCATTCTGTGTAATTTTCTGGGTATAATTATTTAAGTTCTTATAGTACCTAACTGGGATATTTTAATTCTTACATGTCTTGTAGGAGCTAGATGGTGATACCTGGTTGACAAAGCAATTTTTCTTGGCCTCATTTTCCCAAAATACATCAACAGAACTAATAACACTTCCTCGCAGGAATTTCAAGCGTTTCAAGATATCTGGCCCCTAGCTGCACTACAATTTATACTAATTCACTCATTCACAGCAACTTTTTTTCCAAGAGAGCTGTCAACTTAAAAAACAAGCACTATTTCCTTTTCACTTTTTTCTTTCCACAAAAAAAAACCCCAAACCTTCAACCAAAGCAGTGCCAGTTCCTGGCATCCCCGTATGGAGCGCAACAGGGACAGCACATGCACCAGGTTATATTACCGCGCTTTCAGAGCGATTTGGCTCTCTAGCGCAGTCTGTTTGCCCACAGACAGAGCTGTGATTGTGCTTGTTTTCCCTTTCTGTTTTTATATCCCTTTTTTTTCTTGCCAGAAACGGCTGGTTTTTTCTAGTAACACTGTTACGTTTGCAGCCTGGGAGGCTGCAGTTGCCCATGCTTGGGGGGGGCTGCGTGGCCCTGGGCTCACCCAAGCCAGGGCTTGGAGAGGGTGGAAGGGGGCACCCACGGGAGCTGGGGGCACCCCAAAACCTTCCCCGCTGCCCAAACCCAGGTCCCTCATCCCAGGGCTGCAGCCTCCTCAGGTTGCCCCCGCTCCGGGGTTGAGGGACAAGCCCTGGCCCCTCAAGCCTGTTACCCCTCCGGCAGGCTCAAACCTGCCTTACCCAGCCCCATCGAGCCCTGACCCACCTCGTCAGGCCCCGGGGAGCTCCGTCCAGCGGCCCCCAGTCCCGGTCCAGCCCGGTTGTACGTGCGGCCTGGCCCGGCCGCCCTGCAGGCCGCCGCGGTTGCCATGGCGACGCATTGTGGCATAACGGGGCCTGGGCTGCGGCCTGTGGTGGGACCGGGCCCTGGCGGGGCGTGGGGGGGTCCCTGCCTGCCCTCGCCACCGCCCAGGCCCCGGGAGCCACGGGCAAACCACCCAAGGACCAGGCTCCGGCGTCTCGGGTGGACGCGGTTGCCGTTCCCTCTCCCTGCGGTCGGTTTCCACCACCCCGTCGTGGCCCCGCTGGCAGGACCGAGCCCCACCAACTTCTCCCCCGAGCCCCTGCTTTTCGCCGTCATGCTTTTTGCTCTTAGCAGCAGTGGCGTGTGGGGAAATACACCCATTGCCTATGGGACTGCAGGCCCCAAAATGATTTGTACTTTCCCTTCCATAAATCTCACTAATGTGCTTCTCAGCTGCCTGCCCCCTCCACCTTTTGCCCTCTGGTCCCTGGGGAAATGTGGTACCTTGGGTCCCTGAGGATCCCATGACACCAGCCCAGCCCCGAGGGGAGATGGCCGCCTGCGTGGGGAGGGGAGCGCGGCCGCGCTCGCTTCTGCCTCCTTAATTAGCGGCATCTGTTTTTATACCGAAAGCAGTGACTTGGGTCACTTACAGCGAGCCGGTGCACAACGCCTGCTTGTTGTAATCACGGTGTGATGGATCTGCCGGTGGTGGGCACGGGGCGAGGGGTCGGTGTGACTTTTGGGCTGGGCATCACGTGCGTTGAGGTGTGAGAAGGCTCTGTCTCCCAACCCGGGGCTGTTCACTGGGCAGTTTCCCATCGTACCAGAGGGCATGGAGGAGGAGAGCAGAAGGGCCGAGGGCTCTGTGCTCCCCTCTTAGCAGGCACGATGTGTTTCACTCCCATCTTGTGCCCCTTGCTGTTGCGATGGGGCTGTGGGGAGGCTAAGCCGATGAAAAGACCACGTTCTGAGGACTGCAGGGTTTGTGATCATTTGCATCCCAAATACGATTTCCAAAGCTTTGATTCCCTGTGCAGGATGTTCCCATTGCTCCTCCAGCATGTTTCACCTCTGCTCCACGGAGCTAGGCAGTAGCCTCAGTGGTTTATGAGCCCTAGCTCCAAGACGAAGGAGTCTAAAACTGAGCTGCTTTGCTGTGGGTTGCTTTAAAGATCTCTTATCCTTGCAGAGCTCAGACCTCAGCGGCGAACTGCGGGGACATGGCCTCGAGCCAAGGGTCCCTGCAGACAGAGATGAAGTAGCTAAGGCAGGACAGCCAGAAAATGGTGACTGCTAGCTCAGGGCAAGGTGTAGTGAGCGCAGCATGGAGCAGAAAAGCTGGCTCCATCCTGGGAAGCCTTAAGGTCGTGCTAGTGGCACCCTGCACCCTGCGAGGTGGCCACAGTGAAGCTCTGTGCCGGCACACGGCTGCCCTGTTTCTCACACCACAGGCACCTTGCTGGGGTTTTGAGTCGCCTGGTGTAGGTACGTATCTGCCTCTGGGGCTGGTGAATCCTCACAGCCCTGCCAGGCTGCTCCAGACAACTTCGCTGTTTGTAGCATTTCTGGGAGAAAGATTGTGAATGACCCTGCCTTGAATTCCTGAGCATTAGGACATCATTGGCAGCACCCCACTGCTGCTCTGCCTGGGACCTGCTCTGAGCCCAGCATGGGTCAGATCTGGGATGCCCACAGATAGGTTTCAGCTTTGCTCTTTGCTGCTTTGCAGATGTTACTATTCACCCAGGAAAGCACAGGTGGTTCTGGGGTACTAATGTGGTCTGCTGGGCTTTATGGTATGCTGTTGGGATGGGGGTATTTTCGCTTTTCAAGGGTGAATCTTGCAGTCTTTACATCTGACGCCAGAGACACTTGGTGCTTTGTTCTCCACAGTGAGACTGAGGCTGTTTCACAAAGTGTCAGGAGTTTTGTTAACTTAAACACATAATCCTTATTAAAGAGATGTGTTGAAATAGAATATAAACTGCTCCATTAAGAAGTGCAGCAAGCTTCCTTTTGGGTAGGAAGGGATTTTCCTGCTCTGCTTTGCTGTGGGACCTGACTGGCCAGTCAGCTGTTTTACTGTGAAGAGACTGGCTTGTCTGGTTCACAGTGGCAAGCTCAATGCCATGACCAGTGTGTTCATCAGCAAACTGGGCAGGCGTCCTGTATCTGAAGGTGCCTTCATACTCCCTGCGATTAAATCTTTGGGTCAGGGCTTAGCCTTAATGCTGTCTTGTACGCTTAGCTGGGGCATCTCTGCTAAGCTTTTTTAATTGAATGATAGGCAAGATCCATAACACCAGCCCTAAGCTTCTGCTTTAACATCAAAGGAGGAGGCAATCTGTCATTTTAAGAAATCAATGCATCTTCTCAAGGCAGCCAGAGCTTACCATTTCATTTCATAGCTGCCAAGAGATTAACTATACAATTGTCAGGTGTGATTCTCTAACAGACAAGGAAGATAACAAATATGAGTGAAAGAAGGTTGATAGCCTTGCCTGGGGGGAAGGGCTAGCAGAGATCAGTATTTGGTAATAATGCCAAGTTTCTGCAGGAAATGAATGTTGATGATCATGTCAGGGATCCCAATCCTGTCGTTCGGGCTGTGTGTGCTGGGAACTGGACCTGTCCTTTTCCCTCGGCCTTGGTGAGCTGACAGCTTAAGGACATACAAAATGTCCTGCGAAGGTCCAGCTAACCTTGCCACCTGTTCCAGCCATGGCCTGTGCCAGGTGCCCAGGGACGAGTTTAAAACAAGGCTTGAAATTTGCGTCCATTTCCCTTGGCACCCTCCCATCCCATGGTTTCTGAAGATGCGATGGTGTCTTTGTATTTAATAGCTCTCGGTGGAGAGCATGTCTGCCTTCAAGCTGGTGAGGTCCAGG